AAGTCTGGCTCTCCACTAGAGTGACCTCAGCCCAGAAGTTGGAGATGGTCATGGCGATGGTTTTCCCATTGAAGCCATCTGAGGGATTGCCCATTAATCCGACCCTGTGAGTGATCATATATTTGGCTCTAAGGTAACAGCGTTTGTCATGTTCTAACATTGTGCTTTTGTTGTGAACTGGGAAGGAGAAAGAGGTTTGTTTTTTTGCAAACTGGAAAAACAACTGTAATCTGAACTCAATTCAAGACCAGTGGAGTACAAGTAATTTATGTTGGTGTTTCCTTACCTGGCATAGGACCTGCATGTGATTGGCTTTGAAAGACTGTCTTTTTGCTTGGAAGAATAGTGGGTGAGCCACTTGGTGTAGTCTGACAGGCCCTGAGATGTCAAGAAGAAGTAGCTTATAATTAGAAAATGCCAAAGAATAAATCAGGTCTGTTGTGCCTGGGCTTTAGGTACTGTACATTAGTGATGGCAGAAACGAGGCTTCCCAAAGCTTTGAATCAACTGCTTCGGAAAATGGTTGGTTGTTTTTAAACATTTGAATCACCCACGCCGGTGACTTCTGCTGGCCAAATGCCCATAAATACAATCAAAACTGTTAACATGGCTAACAAATCATTTTAATTCAATTATATTGAGACTAAAAGTTGTGCATAATTAAGGGAATGGCTGCTTTGAGTGACAGGCGGGAGGGTCCCTCCACTGGTGGCTGGCTTCATTCTACCCATTCAGCCCGCCCCACCTCCACTCACACTCCGCCTCTTTGTCCATTTTTGGATTAGACATAGCAGGCGGAGTGACGCACTATCAATATAGCGATGAACTTCAACACTATTCAGAAAACCAGTGGGTGATGTCACAGTGAGTTTGTCTAGCTTTTATGTACAGTCAGGGGTTAGGGGTTAGGACCAAGTACTCAGATTAATCTGGACCTCACTCTGAACTGTCAGCAGTTGCTTTGCAAGTTAAAGTCCAAGGCGAGACTGTTTATTATTACTGTATTATTACTGAAATCAATCAGGATTTTTCTGACTGTCATCTCTGGCTTTGTCCTTTATAATCTAAGAATCTGTGCAAGGAAATGCTGTGTAAAAAAATGATAAATATAACTGATAAGCTGAGGTAAGGATACAAACCACTTGTCCAATGAGCTGAAAGCCAGTCGGAAGCTTCATTCCAAACACACTAAGCTGCTTCTCATTGATCAGCCACTCCTAAAGGCAAAGGAGCCATGAAAGTAACTGGTTAGTATTTTATTCATCCTTGATAATGCATCCATGTCATTTGCATTTGGGTAAAAGTAGGACTTTGTATTATCTAAGTGAGTCAACATTTTTTTGTCAGAATAAAAGGCAAAGTCAAACCATAAATTACAATGAGGCTGAAGCAGATCTTGTATCAGTAGTTTATTTCATTTGTATAAGAAAATTCTTTTTAACTATGAGGATTTGGGAGTTTTGACTGGAACCTGACCTAAGCTTATGGTTAAGTGAATTTAAGGAATAAAGTTATGTCGGTGTATTTGTCATGTGTGATACAACAAGACCAAAAGGTCGTTTTTGCTAAAATAACATTTGATTTATTAACTATAACTCAAATTCCTTCATATATAATTTGTATGATATGAACACCATGGAATGTTTTACCCAGAACCGTCCAAAGCTCCTGTCTGTGGACCGAGGCTGAAGGCAGAGGAAGTCAGACATGTAGGGCAGCGTGTCTCTCTGAATGCAGTAAAACACCACGCTAGCCAGCCGGGAAGCTGTCAGCCCCTCCTGGGGTTTCTCCAAGAAGCGAGTTATCCTGATTCATGAAACTACAATCAAATCTGCAACACGGTGCCACTTATCACACTCATGTCAATAAGCAACACAACCCAAAGAAATCATTCTTGGCATTTCTTGGCATTGCCGATGTGCCAGTAGGATGAACAGAAACAGCTTTTTTCTTCTTACCTATGGGTGTCGGGGCAGACCTCCACGATGCCGCGAGAGTTGCTTTTCTCACTTTCCTCCAGAGCATAGTAAATGATTAGCTCTCCAGGCTGTAGCACAGGCACATAAAGCTGGGTTACTCAAAGCTGCTCATGACTTAACACACACAAAAAAGGCCCTGGACAAATTCATTCTTTTTTATTCAAATGTGTATGTGCACAACGAGCTGTTATTTTAAACAGTTTAAAATTCCTTGTGCCTGATCACAACTGAACTACACTGCTGTACAGAGAGGACTTTTACATCTGACCTGACATGTCTGAGCTCACTTATTCCTTGTTACACTAAGCTCTGCTGTTGCTGTTATACAGAGGGCAGATTTCATAGATATCCTATGCACAAATGAGATCATAAGGTTTTACATCCACTAAAATGATTATGTGCATATGAGTATACTGTAAGTGCAAGGTCTTGGTGCACATTTTTATTGTAGCAAATCTCACCTTTGACCTGAAGAAGCGGATAACTTGAGCAATATCAAAGTTCTGGTCTGCACAGAGCATGTCTCCTGCAATCTGCCCACACAGAAAGAAAATGCTCGTTGTATGTAGTGTATGACACCTTGTTAATACAGTGAAATGTAACTGAGCAGTTCCTTTATCTTATGTCAGTCAGTCAGTCAGTAGTGTGAATGAGCAGGCATTCTCCAACATGAAGAACAGACAGTCATCATACCACCACGATGTCGTCCTTCAGCCTGCGGCTTCGTATGGCCAGCTCCAGGTCAGCCACGGCCCCAAGACAGTCCTCCAATGTAGTGGTGCCATCATTGACCACATTCTCCACCGGGAAATCATTAGCTGTGGCCCAGCGCTCATAGTGCTTATACCTGGCCAGTTTAACATTAAAAGCTAAAGAAATTTAAGTGGCTTTGGCAACAAAAGCAATAGTCACATCATAAATGAGGTCTTACAAGGGTATTTAAATAAATGGGTTTATGTACTCACTTGTCTGCATTTGTGACCAGATACACTTCTGTGAACAACTGCCGCCTGCAGAGAAATCACATACGTAGTCAACAGTATTCCACCTGTGTGTTATACGCAGAGGACTGGGGATGGAAAAGGTCCTCAGAAACCAGAGGTGTATACTCAATTACTGTACTTAAGTTCAGTTTTGAGGTATCTTTACTTTGCTTGAGTATTTTCATTTTCGCCTACTTCATACTTTGACATTAGATTTCAGAGGCCAATATTGTACATTTTACTCCACGTTTATTTAATAACTTAAGTTACTCCTCAGAATTAGATGAATAAACAAAAAAGAGTAAGACTTTATTAATAATCAGTGGAAGTATCACAGGCTACCTATCAGTACTTCAAATTAAGGTAGTTAACGTTAGCTCTACCTTTACCAGCTGCAACAATAAATGTGATGTAGACTATAATAATGCAGCAGTAATTATAATCCACTAATATGACACATGCTACTTTAAAGTGAAATGTGCTATTCTGCATAATGACTTATTTTACTTTTGGTACTTTAAGTACATTTTGATGCACATTTACTTAAGTGACATTTTAAATCCTGGACTTTTACCTGTAACGAAGTACTTCTATACTGTGGTATTGCTACTATGAATTAAGTAAAATGGTCTGAGGAGTGACATTTTAAATGCTGGACTTTTACCTGTAGTGGAGTACTTCTATACTGTGGTATTGTTACTATGAATTAAGTAAAATGGTCTGAGTACTTCTTCCACCACTGTCAGAAATGAGGCCTGTTCATGTTTGGGCCACCTGGAACTGTTACGCACATGTTGACAGTTTCCCACCAAAAGTCAAGGATCTTCTTTCCCCTGATGCCAGGAAGCAATGCCTTTGGTACCCCAGTCAGGTGGTTGTATAATCCTGTGTCATCGTTCTGGGAAAGAAAAGGAAAAACAGCTGGGCAGGTTACTAATCAACTTATTAATAAAATGAAACCTCTCCATTCTGTAAGTTAGGGAACAATGACGTGTCAAACTCAGTTACCTAAAGAAGCTAGTTCCATTATGTTTTCTTTCTCTCTGAGTAAAGACCATAGGTTGTGTGTATATTTGACAATAAATGTCATTCATCCCCTTCGAATTCCCAGGGGGCGTTGAAGACCACGTTGGACCAATGACAAAAGATGTAATATTACAAAAAAATTGACTACGGGTATGGCTGCTAGGTGTACGCCGGATGCACCACTGCATCTTCATAACTTCAAATTGGTCGAGAAGTCTAATGACTACACCAACTAGCTAACAAGTAGTCAACGCAGAGGAAAGGTGCTAGATTCCTTAACGCGATTCTGAATACACTGAGGTGTAGTATGGCCGCTCTGCAGCTAATGCGAACTTCATCTCCTTTTTGCTGCAACAGCGAAGTTGCTTACCTTGATTTGTGTCTCTAGGACGGTGCCGTGACCAGCTACCAACAGTATACAAATCATTGGTGACACCTCAGTTTGTCCTGATGATCTTTTGAATAAATGAAAACAACGAAACACTTCGGGAAAATATACGGTCTCAGTGGGAACTTATACGTCCAGAACCACGAAGACACACTTCCGAGAACCTTCAAAATAAAACGTGCTTACGATTACTTTTATATTTAAAGCTGCACAAGCAAATTATACAGAGGAATGTTTTTCCCAGTAATATTGATACAGTACTAATGTTCCAGCCATGATCACATCACGTTCAGTGTTACATACTTTACACACAAAACCGTGAGTTGTATATGAAGTTTCATGTTACGCTTTGATAGTTGAACAAACTCCCCACTTATGCAGTTGATGATATAACTTTTAACAACTTCTTACTAAAATGCTACATGGACTACAGTGTTATGTCAAACATAACATGGGCCAAAACCGAGCAAAACTAGCTAAATTACTTCATTTACTAATCCAAGAAAACACGCTGGAGAAATGCTACGTTATCTGACACAAATGCAGTGGTGCCAGTATTTTTTGGACATGACTGTATGACAGATGCAATTAAAAAAAACAGTTCTACATCTTTTAACCAATTTATTATCTTTAATAATAAACAGAACTGTAAGTGGTTTAGGGCATATAATTTCAGTTTTTAATATAAAGACATGCATAGCCTACCTAATGCAATGCTTACCAACCCCAGTTTATTTAGTTAGTTACATTGTTGCAATGTAATTATTGTCCCCAGTGAAGCTTCATGAAACAATATACAAAAGTGAACTGGATGACAAACTTGGTATCAACTCAAAGTGATACTGATAAAAGATGAAAATAAGTCAAAGCTTGAATACTATGTTTTTCAGAGACATTAATATGAATGCATTTGATACAGAGAAGCACAGCACTGTAGCACAGAGGTTAAGGATCAGAAACAAAAGAGACGTTGGTCATGTTTTAGAGCTTAATGTACTGGAGGTCAAAGGTAGGGTTGGTGATTCTGGAAAACCCAGCAAGAGGAAGCTCGATTTTGAAAGTAACCAACCGAAGAAATCCCACCCTAAAGCCACTCCTCCAAAACGCAGGGCACACTGCAAAGTGCACTGCCTGACTGCTACTTAGAGATTTCAGGAAAAAAAAACAAATTTCCCCCAAAAAACAAAAACCAATAATTACCTGTCCATCATGATTCAACAGAACTAGACCACTGTCGTATCTACTTAAAAGTAATCAATTCTGAAAAGAATTTCCAACCCTACCTTTAATGAACAATCATAACATTTGTGGAGGAAGGGATTCAATGAGGGCTTTGCTAAACTTACGTGACTTTTCACACTCAAGCTGATGTAGTTTTTTTATTGTTTCTCTTCTCAGATACACCACATTATCAAGACTGGCTTTTACTCACCAGGCAAAGGATTTCTGTTATAAAAAGATTCTAAGATAATGTTTAAGTTTGTCATTTAGCAAAGTAGCTTGATTTGAATATCAATGACAACATTCACTTATTTTGCCCTATTTCATGCACACTCAATCACAAATAAAGTTGTCTCAAAGCATTTCAAGTACTCTTTTGGCCCATACATGTAGATGTCTTCAAATACCCTTTGGCAACAGGCTTCTCACTGGGGGTCTGTGCTGGAAGATCCCACAATGCCATGCTGTCGCAGCAAGTTCCTCAGGATCTGATTCTTGGACTTCCAATCTTCCACCTGAGCAACAGCAGCACAGGTATTACACATAATAGTATACAGTAATACAATACAGTAATACATAATAGTATTACACATATAATAGTATAGTAATGCTGACTCATCAGCTGACTAGTGTTTCTGTCTACCAGGAATGCAATGACCGCCAATTGTGTTGTGCTGTGGAAATACTGTTTCTATTAAAGTCAACAGACTTAAAGCAAAGATGTCAAACATTTGATGGTTCCAGTTTCTCAGATGTGAGGATTTGCAGCCCGTCCATGTCTCACAATTTGTGAAATTTTCTCAGGTTCTGACTTTTAGTAAAAAAACAATGTGTGGGTTTAATGTATGTTTGATTAGAATCATAACAGAGTAAGTTTAATCCTAACCAACAGTAGTTTTACACCTGAACTATGGAGGTTGGCCAAAACCATTACTTTTTTGCCCAAGGCCTGTATCTTAACCAATTTTACACAAATGATTTGAGGGTGAATAACAACCACATTCACACATACTACCTATCTCACATAGGGATGATTGTTAACTTATTTAACTCAAACATACTCACTTCCAATGTCAATATAAATGTGTTAACCTGTGACCACAATAATGGCATCAGCTGGCACATTAGTACACAAAATTATGTTTCACACACTTCTTCACTCCAGTAAGAACAAACTGCAGGAAAAAACACCATGTTGCTGCCATTCTTTCTACTTGAATAAGATGATTAAAATGGTTAATATTTCAAATTGTGTACAGTGGTTAAAAGTAATGACACTCCCCAGGTATTTTGTCCCCAACAAAAGCCATGCCACACTTACACACCTCCTGTCTGAGCAACTGGTTGTCAATCCTGAGACGGTCAAGTGTGCTGATATCGTCCCCCAGCTTCAGGTTGCTCTGTCTCAGTTCCTTGATGTACTCGCAGGCTTTGGACAAGATTCCTCCTTTACTCTGAAACACGAGATTTTAAAATGTTAAGGAAAAAAAAATCCTCTCTAATGTAACAAAGTTTCTCTATCTGCTGGGGGGGGGTGAACTGTGTCCTTTTAGCAACAAAATGTTCACAAACAGTCACAAGAACAACACACTCTCACTGGGTTTATCTTTACTGTCACTGTGAAATACAGAAATAGTTTTCAGTCTGCTGACAGAGCTTCACCCACCTGTCCTGTCTTGGTATAGTCAACGTTACAGTCTGGGATGGCCTTCGATAGCTGCACAATCCAGTTGTTGATCTTGTCCCTGCGCCGGCGCTCGACTATTCGGACAAAAATTCAGTGTAAGACTTACCCTCTTATCATACATATCTACTCAAATATTTGCAAAATTCAGTTTTTCACTTCTCATGTTAGACATGAGTGCTGACCTTCATTGTGCTGGGCTCGCCGCTTCTCATCTCTGGAAGCCCGGGGAGCCTCTTGCTTTCTAGAAAGCAGATCAGAACAGAAATATAAGACTACAGTATACATTTCATCGAAACAGATTACTTTTAATTAGATAGTGGTCTAATTCAGTTCAGTCATGATGTCATTACGCTATGTAAGGCTGAGTGCGAGGTGCGATTGTCCTTTGATTAGATCCCGTCAAAACTTCCTGGGGTGACATCATCACATAGAGCTGCCCTGTAAAACAAAAATGTTTAGGTCAGCTGCACGAGCACACACACAGCATCTTAGAATAAAAGGCTTTATGTTTTCATGCACCACAAAGCCTTCAAACTTAAAAAAGGTTTAAAAAGTTGCTTTTGGTTAACGGCTTCATCTGTGCAAAGGATGTTCTCTAAGAAGCACTGTGGCTTGTCAACATGGCTTTTCTCCCATGGAGCCTATTTTCATTCATATGGTGCTCCATCTCAGAGTTCAGCTTGTGTCTGATTTGAAGATTTCCACCACTGAAACTCTCCTTCTGTTCAATCCGGGCTCAAAGGGACCTTAAACAATCTATTAGTATTGGCAACTACAGTATGGCCTCCATTTAAACAGGCTGAATGACTGATTAGGTACAAGACTGAAGACACTTTTGATACTAATGTGACACTGCTTGCTCATCACCACCTCTAAGGGGAAGCTTACCAGTAATTATTTTTCAGGACATTCAGAAGAGCTTTGTACAAAGAGCAAGAATCTAGCTCTTGTCACAGCTTCTTTGTTTGATTCTGCAGCAAACCAAATGCATGACAAAAGAGTTTTTACTGTCAACACTTTTCATAAAGAGTGAAGCATCATTTTATTACAGTGTAAGGGTCCAGCATTTTTAGCCACTGTATAAATGTGCAGCAGTTACCTGTGGGAGTGGTCTGGCCCAGCAGTGTGTCAGAGGCCTGCACTGTGGTCACCATAGTGCCAGTTGTGGCATCTGCGATTGTGGCGGGGTAGTATGTGTACTGTGTCTCACTGCTGCCATCTCCCTCCAAACCATCTGGCTGGGAGAACACAGCCTGAAGTCAAAGAGACATTGAGTCCACTGTTAGGATTGCACTGTGCTGCTAATACAGAAATGACTAATGAAATCTATGAAGAATTAAACATCTATAAGCTTCTGCTAAAGCTGTTAGGATCTGGACAGACACAAACTCTGTGAAACCACTATTCAATATTACATTCCAGTAAAACCACCTTTGAATTTTCTACTTTTAAGGGTTTTACTAGAAAATGACTCATATTTTGGGTGAATCTTAAAGACTCTAAAACTGTATTTTTACACAGAATACTAACTGGGGCTGAATATAAAACAGCAGAGAAGTGACTCTCAGTGACTGGGCCAGATCAGATTTTTCTTTCAAAACATCAATAACAGAAACTCAGCACTGTACAGCAGATGAACTCCAGCTATATACCATATAAGATGATTCCACAACAAATTCCACACAAGCAAATAGAAGCATCACATCAACAAGTACAAAAACAAATGCATAATATAGGTAGATTACTTAAAAATATCAAAATACCATATAGTCAAAGTCAAAGTGTTTATTTTGTCATATTCTCAGTTAGGAAACATGTTTCCCTGTACAATGAAATTCTTACTTTGCCATCCACATGAATGCCACAAAATATAAATGAAATATAAAGTAGATAAATAAGTAACACAGGAGTCTGATGGCAGAGGGAAAGAAAGAGTTTTTCAGTCTAGAGGTCCTGCATTTCACACTTCTGAACCTCCGGCCAGAGGGCAAAGAAGTGAACCGTTCATGCTGGGGGTGGGTGGGATATTTGAGGATGGAGGCAGCTTTCCTACGCACCCTGTGGTGGTAAATGCTCTGCAGAGAGGCAGTAGAGTCCTGGTGATCTTCGCCACAGTCTTTACCACTCTCTGCAGGTGCTTGCGGTCCATAGCAGTAGTGCTGCCATACCAGACAGTGATGCAGC